GTTGACTCTTAACTGTCCTCTGGGCAATTAGGGATGGGCAATAAATGCTGCCTAGCCAGCGATGCCCTCATCCTGTGAATGAATAAAGGATTTAACAATACCCAAGGTAATTCATTTCCATTTCCATTTGATGCTCTGTCACATTTTTCCTATTCTTTTATTCTAAATATGGCCCCATTAATTACCATTATAGCTGATTCAGGAACTCAGGAGGTACCTTACTAACAACAATATAAAGAACATTTTCACAATAGTTTTAAGAGATAAACAAACAGTATGGTTTCAAGCATTACCAAATTTTACTTGTTTGGTCTTTATTGCAAAAAACTATATACTGTTTTCTTAAATGTAACTTCCTGTATTATACTTGGCTTTCTTTCTTCCAAAATTATTCCAAATTCAAAATTGACAACAACTGACTCAAGTTTCTTCTGTGTAGAGACCCTGTAGTATTGAGGGTTAACAGGTTTCAATTAATTTCTTCCAAAACAATCTATCCCAATTTTTCCTGATACAAACCTGGGGAATCAATGGTCTAGTGGTATTATTGCTAGACTATTAATCCAAAGGCCAGATAGGGATCTGGGTTCAAATCCTGCACAGAAGACGATGGAATTTGAATTCAACTAAAAAGAAAATCTGGAATTAGGAGTCAACTGAAATCCATTGTCAATTGTCAGGGGAAAAGAACCCAACTGGTTCACTGATGTCCTTCAGGGAAGGAAATCTGCCATCCTTAGCAACTGCAGCAATGTGGTTGACGCTTAACAATTAGGGATGAGCAATAAATGTTGGCTAGCCAGTGAATGAATAAATAAAAATGTTTCAAATTAAGATTTAACTTTATTTACCCTTTAACATTCAATTGAATTTCCCAGTTTTTTTTAACTAGTTACTTGTATCAAGTAATTTCACGAATCTCAATTTCAGAAACAATTACATCCAAACTTTGTGGTTTGAAATGGTCCTCTTATATTGGGGGCTCCAGTGACTATATTCCTGATTTCAAAGACTTTGCCTCAGCAAGAATTCCAGCTCCTGTGCTGTGTTCTTGAAACCTGTGCGAAAACAAAACCACTGGCACTGGAAGAATCCCAGTGGGATAATAATACCCAGATCTCACCACAAGGAATGGGTGTGAGAAAATTCAAATCTGCCAGCTCCTAGGAAGAATTAATTCTGCTGGTCACAGAAGTGGCAGAGCCCAAGTCATCAGGTGATGTCATATCATACTTTCACACATTCAGTTTAAAAAAACTGTCACAAAATCTTTTAATGATCTCAAACTGGCACTTTAAATTTCTATTGTCTTAAATAAAACACTTTCTAAATAAAGACCAAAAGAACTTTAGGTGCTAGACATCAGAAACAGATATAGAAATTGCTGGAAAAGCTCAGCAGGTCTGGCAGCATCTGTGGAGAGAGAAAGCAGAGTTAACGTTTTGGGTTGAGTGATCCGTCCTCAGAACCAGTTCCAGCAATTTCTGTTTTTGCTTTTGAAAACATTTTCTTAGAAAGTATTTGGATAAAACATTGCTCATTCCAAATTAAGAGTTCAAATTGGATGTCTTCCAAAAAGGTTTATCTATTATTTGTGAACAAGCTAGAGTCATAGAGTTGTACAGCATGGAAATAGACCCTTCAGTCCCACTCGTCCATGCTGACCAGATATCCTAAATTAATCTAGTCCCATTTGCCAGCATTAGGCCCATATCCCTCTAAACCCTTCCTATGCATGTACCCATCCAGATGTCTTTTAAATGTTGTAATTGTACCAGCCTCTACCACTTCCTCTGGCAGTTCATTCCATACACGCACCACCTTCTGCGTGAAAAAGATGCCCCTTAGGTCCCTTTTAAATCTTTCCCCTTTCACCTTAAGCCTATGCCCTCTAGTTTTGGACTCCCCTACCCTGGGGAAAAGACTTTGGATAATCACCCTATCCATGCCCATGTTTTTAATAAACCTCTACAAGGTCAACCCTCAGCCTCCGATCCTCCAGGGAAAATAGCCTCAGTCTATTCAGCTTCACCCTCCAACCCTTACAACATCCTTGTAAAACTTTTCTGAATCCTTTCAAGTTTCACAACAACCTTCCTATAGCAGAGACGAAAATGACACGCAGTATTTCAAAAGTGGCCTAACCAATGTCCTGTACAGCCACAATATGACCTCCCAACTCCTATACTCAATGCATTGACCAATAAAGGCAAGTGTACGAAGCTTCTTCACCATCCTATCTCCCTGCGACTCCACTTTCAGGGAACTATGAACCTGCAATCCTAGGTCTCTTTGTTCAGCAACACCCCACAGGAGCTTACTATTAAGTGTATAAGTCCTTCCCTGATTTGCCTTTCCAAAATGCAGCACCTCACATTCATCTAAATGAAACTCCATCTGCCACACCTTGGCCCATTGGCCCATCTGATCATTGTACTTTGAGGTAATCATCTTCACTGTCCACTACACCTCTAATTTTGGTGTCATCTGCAAACTCCCTAACCATACCTCCTCTGTTCACATCCAAATCATTTATATAAATGACTGAACCATTTTTTTCCACAACATCTTTTCTGCACCAGCTCGAAAAAAAAACTTTTAGAAGTTTTCAATGATTTGAAAGTTTTGAAACAATGGTGCTTTTGGACTACACCTTGTTTGAGTACTGATCTCAGTCAAATGTAAGGAATGTTCTCCTTGTAACTGCCGTGGTAATTCTCTGTGAATACAATCCAATTTTCACAGAGGGTTTCTTTCTTTAACTTCACTGGGGGAAAGCAATTTGTCAACCTCACCTCTAACTGTGCCGAAGGGTCCTATTCCTTTGTCCATCCCTACTGGCTCATGGGTGGCATTACACACCAGCTTTGTCTCACTACACAGAGATGAGACAGTGGGAAAACATGAACAATATTCTCAAGGTTCTGCAAGATAACAGCCTCAGCTGCTGTCTGTTCACAGATTTCTGTCAAATATGTTTTGATATTTTTCTATATCAGAGGAGAAGTCCATTTTGCCATCAGTTTCAAAACCAATATCCACTTTCACCCGTTGCAATGTTGGATCGGCTCGCAGCCTTTTCCTGGTATGAAGTACAGTGCTTTCCAGTAGGTAATCATTTTTACCCTGCAGCTCTTTTACCAATTCCCACAGCTTTTTATTTTCTTTATTCAACTGTAAAGCACACAAATGGGCACTGTAGGCTAACTTATTATGGATAGTTTCTAACTCAGTTGTTCCTTTCATAACCTCTTTTGAAAGTCTATCAAGGACACACGCATAATTAACATCGCATATTTCTACAATTTACAGTACAGCTCCTGTTGACGATGATCCTTACTTTTCCATTGAACTATCTACAAGTTGCATTTTCGAATTGGCCAGTGACATGATAACCTCAATTAAAGACTGCTGCTTCTCACAGCTTCCGAAATATAAAGCCAATTAAACTGGTGACATGTTAGTTAGGTGGACAAAGAAAATATACAACCATGACAATTGGGGATGGTTCACAGGCTGTTGGCACAGAATGTTTCAGTCTCGCTAAAGTGGTGGGGACAGCATCCTACTGTCCAGCCGAGATGTGAGGGAACTTGTCCCTTGGACTTTCTCCTTCTTGAACATTTTGCTCAGACCGGTTCTGACTGACTAACCAGTTTTAAGGTTTCTTTCCTTCCTACCTTCCATAGTTCCCGGTGTGCATTTCTACCTCCACAGTGTAGACTTTGTATCCATCTTTTTATTCCCCCTCCCACCCTGCTGTGGGACTTGTGACTGCCCCCAACGCAAACTGGGCTGGCTGCCTTCCTACTCTTCTCCCGTCCTGCTGTGGGGCACTGGAAGGAAATCAAATGGGAAAGGCGAGAAAGTAGAGTTTAGGATTATCAGATCAGCCATGGTCTCATTGAATGATAGAGCAGACTCGATGGGCTGAACAGCCTACTACGTCGTATGGTCTTATTGTGTTATAACAGGTTTATTTCTGTATAGTCATTTCTTAATTTATTAAATACAGCATGAATCATGCCATACATTAATGTTTTCCTTTTTAGTGTCAGGTTAATGACCATAACAAGATAAATGGTGCACAGCTGGATGAACACAGCAGGCTAAGCAGCATCATAGGAGCAGAAAGGCTGACGTTTTGGGCCTAGACCCTTCTGACGAAGAGTCTAGGCCCAAAACATCAGCCTTTCTGCTCCTATGATGCTGCTTGGCCTGCTGTGTT